AAAATAATAAAAAATCTATTAACAAATAAAACAATGTAATGCAAAACTACAGTAATTGGGTTGGTGTGGTACAGAAGTTAGGCATATAGATCAGAGGAAGAGAATTAAGAGTCTAGGAACAAACCTGTGTATTTCTTGTCAACTGATTTTCTGCAGGTGCACCAAGACCATTCAAGTCGAAGGGTCTTTCTTCTTCGGCGAGGACAAAAAAAACAACCCACAAGTCTGCCTTTGTAGAATGTTCCTTTTGTTCCTGAGCTGAAAATGATGACAAGGTCTAGGGTGAGGGCCCCCAAGCTGGAGTTTCTGGGAACTCCAGCCCCTCAAAAGGGTCCAGCAGTGAGCCTCCTGGGTTACAGATGTCCCCCAGCTGGGCCTGGGCCCTTCTCTCTCCTCCGTGTTTATTGCTGCAGGGCCTGCCCAAGAATTGCCGCAGAATCAGCTCTCTGTCTGGGGCCAGCGCCTGGAGCCGAGCTGTCCGGTATCGCTCACACTGTCCACCCCTTACATAAACAGCCTGGCGTCCTCCGCACCCTGCAAAGTCCTGATGTGGTTGCAAAGGACTGCAGAAGCCAAACGCCTCTCACTCTAAGAAGGACCCTGGCAATGGGCCTTGCTTTCCTTCCAGTCTGAGTCAGGCCTTGGCTGGAGTGACAGGAGAATCCACTTCCTGTCGAAAAGGTGGCCACAGAGCTCGCTGCTGGGAGGAGCCTTCCTTCCTCCCTCCCACGCACCCAGGCTTCCTCCTCAGGAAGAAGGCTGCTTGGTGAGACAGCCCCCCCGCCCCTTTCTTACCATGTCTCGTCTGTTGGACCCAGCCTGCAGATCGCACACAAACCGAGTTACAGAACCACTTTGCAGCCTGCCAGGCCCCTGGGTGGGGTGATTTGGGTTGTACCTCGAATATGAACATGTCTCAGATGTTTATCCCATGTCCCTCACCCCCCACCATACTACACACAGGTCAGGATGCTGAGCCCTGGGGCTTTGCCAGCCCCACACTGAGTACGCTCAGATGGGCTGGGTTATTTGGTTTGCGCCAGTCAGGACATGTGCTTGCTGAGCAGAGAGCGTCCCAGCCCTGGTTAATGTTGCTCCCCTTTTCCACAGCCCCTGGGCCTTGGGGGTGATGGCAGATGCCCAGCCTCAGCTGGCTGGCCTGGGTGTTGGGGTTAGGTGACAGGTGTGACTGGGCTCGGCATCTGAGTGCCAGGGGCGGAGGGAGCAGGCCACCTGGGCGCTCAGTGGTCTGCAGAGGACCAGTTGACAGTACTCTCAGAGATGGGCTTGTTTTGGCCTCGGGAGGACCCAACCTGAGCCAGGGGTGGAGGAAGAGGAAAATCTGTTACAGATGAAGCGGGAGAGAGGTCAAGAAACCTTTTGAGAGGACATTCAAATCTGAAGATATCAGATGACCCCCGGCTTCTGAGCGGCACGGGAACCCCTTGTGGAGATCACACTGCTCTTTGGCAGGGTACATGCCCGTCACTGTGACAGAGCTGGCTTCACCTCCTTCAGGAAGTGACTGCCCTGACTTCAGCTGACAGGACCCTGTTCACACATCATTACCTTCATCCCAGAATTGCCCATCTGTCTCTAGTTCCAGAGTCAAAGTTGACAAACTACTGAATGGGGACAGAAAACTGAATTTGTGATACACATACCCCACCCCAATATGGGCAGACCACAAACCACACTTTCAGAATCATCTTGGCCAACAGAAATACAACATAATTGAAAATTTAAAAAAAAGATTATTTATACATACAGAACTGGGGTACAGGCCAGAGACACAGGGGTGCTGAGAGGATTCACAAGAGGCAGAGAGGGGAGCAGAACAGGCAGATCATCAAAGTACACTGCTGAGGGGAGCAGCAGGCAGGTCAGGAGAGGTCTAGTGTGCCATGTGGGTCACCTTCGGGGCCGAGGATTGAACTCTTGGTGAAGCAGCTGCAACAAGCTTCATGGTGCTTCACTTTAACCCATATTACCACCAGGGAGGGCCTTGTAATTTAAAATTGTCTAATAGCTATTTAAAAACGTAAGAGAAAACAGGTGAGATCATTTTTTAAAGTATTTCTTCAATCAGATGAATTTCCAAAATTCCAGTTATTTCAGCACGCAATCCAAGCAAAAATGGCTGATGAGATTCATGTCCTGTGTGCCAAGTCTTTGCAACCTGGTGCATATTTTATATTTATGGCATACTTCAACTTGGACTGGCCCCATTTCAGACACTCAGTTGTCACGTGTGGCACGTGGCTACTGTCTAGGGTGGCATAGCTGCAGGGCTTTGCTCTGAGAGTGGCCCACAGACCAGAGCATCACCCGTGAACTTGGCAGAAATGCAGGCTCTCCACCCCTGTCCCACCTATCGATTCGGAGCCTGCATTTTATTAATTTATTTCTTAATCAAATTTTATTGCTAAAGTATTACTTTACAAATCTTTTGGTGCACAGCTTCATGCCTTGACATACGCACATGCTTCACCCACCTATTTTAACATGTCACCAGGTACTTTGCATGCGTGCTGAAGGCAGGATCTACACCCTTAGCTCCGCATTGTAACTCGTTTCCTGCACCCAACAGAGGACCGTGAACTAGAAGGCACCACTGTGCATGTTTTTGGAGGAAAAGGATGAAGGCCTGAGCCTGCCTGCCCCTTCCCACAGTGTCCCACCCTCCCTCTACCCTGTTAGTGTGTATCTCAGAACTCAGGTCTGAAAAGAATTTGCAGTCAGAGAACAAATGTATGTCGGAGCTGATAGGAAATTTAAAGTTCCAGTCTAACACCGTTGAGCCCCAGAGAGATGCAGAAACCTGGTGGGCATAGATGGCCACCTTCTTTAGCAGGAAAGTGGTTCTGAGGGGGGCAGATCACCAGGGCGTGTTGCTGGACCTAGCTTTCTTCTGGTCATCTGTGTTCTCTTCCTCAGAAATTCCGTGGAGCCCTGGCCTGCAGACCCCAGGCCTGGACTACACATATTTGTTACCCATCTATTTGGTCTCGATCTCTTTGGCACCTATAAGTATGATTTCAACAAGATGAAATCAAATTCTATTAAGGAAGTGTGCATAATTCATAGACTGCACAAACAAGAATGTTCTATACTGTTACACACAGAAGTGAGAAGTCACTGCTATACACCCAGCAATGGGGGCGGGGAGGGTCAGCAGAGAAACTGCAACCCATCCAAACATTGAAACTAGGACAATAGCCAAACTGGAATGGAAATACTGGCTGGTATGGGGAAGTGCTCATTAGGTGGTATAAGAACATCTATGAGCTTATTATATTTGCATGCAGGGAAGGATGTCTGGAAAAGATTTATATTCCAACATATTACTGTCATTTTTTCAGGAGGTGGGATTATGAGTGATTCTTATTATTTCTTTTGACCACCCACTGCTGCTGTCTCTTCTAGCCCCCCCCTGTGACTAAGAATTACTTATTTTAGAAATAAAATTTACACAATAAAAGGTGGGTGTGGAAATGGGTGTGGGATTTATTTTAAATGTGTTGGTTTATTTTTAGAAAATCCTAAATTTCAAGTGTTGTGGCCTGGTGGCTGCATTGACCTGCTGCAGGGAATTAGTCCAGGCTTGAGAAATAGGCTAACTACACCACGGCTTGAAAACTCATGAGCCAGCTCTTGTTAAATTTCAGTCCGTATTCAGGGAAATGACAGTGAATGACACGCAGTCTGTCTTGTGTTGCGTGGAATGTGACAGTGACCCACCCTTCACGTGTGGGTTCCAAATCATCTAATCATCCGTGTGTATTGGGTTATGATTGTGCAAGCAAGAATCCTAACATGGTGCGTTAGCTCTGTGGGTGAGCGGGTGGACGCCATTTGCACACACACACAGCCCAGCGCGGGAGCACCGTTCACCACCGCCCGTGCTCACACTGAGCTCGCGCCGCCCTCCGTAGGCTCCTGACGGGCCTCTGCTCCCGCGCTGGGGTCCACTCAGCACCCCGCGCGTCCAGCACCTTGTCTTGCTCTGCCCCTTCCTGCCCCTGTGGTCTCACGCCGGCACCTTGCTCAGTCCTCTTCACTTCTACTTTGCTGCATACTTTGTCACGACCCTTCCCCCTTGACATGGTGCATGTTTACTGTTCAGCTTCTGGGATATAAACTCCCTGAGGACAGGGATTTTATCTCCTTTCTTCCTGTCATATTTTCGGAGCTCAGTGCCCTCAGGTGTCCCACAGCCACCTGAAGGCAGGTGAAGGCTTCAGGGAGCAGACCAGTCTTCCTCATCTTACCATGGAGGCGCCTGAGGTCCAAGGAGCAGTTTGGGTTTTGCCCAAGGCCACACAGCTGGGCCACACAGCCCACAGAGACTGTGTGCTTGTCCCTCCTGTGTGCCAAGTTTTCCAGTTGATGCAGAAGCTCAGCAGAAGAAAAATAAGTTGTTTCTCCAGAACCCTGGAGACTCCTGCAGGGAGTCTGTTCCTGGGACAAAAGCAGCCATCTCAGGGTGGGAAGGTAGGACATCTCCATTGCAGTGGGGTAACGGGCTGGGCTTGGTTTTGTGATTAAAATACCACCTGGGCCTGTCTCTGAGGAGCAGTTCTGGAAGGTGGGTGGTCTGTCTGAGGTGAGGTCTTTCTCTGGCCTGGCCCCAGAGGGTTTGGGATGTCAGGTGGCTGGAAGAGCTCACTCAGCAGAAACAGATGAAAGAAACTGGACCCAGAGGAGCCTCTGGAAACCGCTCCTGCAGCCAGGCTCAGGGTGTCTGCAGACACCTCTCCCAAGGCCCCACCGCTTCAGGAGATTGCTCAGACACCCCTTTGATGCAGAGAGAGCTCTGGCCTCCTCCCTCGCATGCCCCATGTGGTTTGTCAATCATCTGTGAAACGAGGGGTTTGAGGCGGCACTCACCCGTGTGAGGACAGCGGGCAGGTGGGAGCAGTGGGGTGGGGTTGGGTGGGGAGTGGAGGCCGAGGGCTGCTCCAGTCTTCTGAATCCTTTCCCTCTGTCTGGCTTCCCAGATGCAGCTTTTGGATAAGTTTCCCATCGAGGGTGGCCAAAAGGACCCCAAGCAGAGAATCATCCCCTTCCTCCCAGGTAAGCTTTGGCTGGCCCTGCTGTGGGAAGGACAGTTGGGGAGAGGCCTTCCTCAGGGCTGGCTGGGAAGCCAGAGATTCTGGGTGGGAGGACTGGGAATCTGTGTATTGTTGCCTTCCTGGGGGATCAGGAGGCCCAGATTTTGAAAGCCACTGCCCTCCTGGGTTCTCTCTCACCTTGCTGGGGCCCTCTTTGCTAGCTGGAGGCCATGAACTTATGAGGAGTTTCTCAGGTTCTAAGACTTTGGTTTCCTTTTTACAAAAAAGCACAGAGAAATCACGTTCTCCTCTGAAAGAGTCTGAAGTCTCCCCCGACTCCATCGTAACCCTAGAGAACCTGCAGTGAGGCCCACATCCCTGTTGGACCTCCTCAAGTCCTCCCAACACTGCTATCCCGCTGAGGCCCCCAGAGCTCACAGAGCACACTCTGAGTGGGCAGTGCCAGAGGCTGAACCCAGGTCTGTCTGGCCATTGAGGTCATTGAGCACCATGCGGCGGGGAGCACATTTAAGGCGGCTGGTTATGTCTGGTGTGTAATTTAGAGGGAAAATGCCCAGGTATGTCACTCCCAGCTATTCCTGTGATGTCGGAGTTGGTGTAAGGATTTATGACTTATAAAAGGCTTTTTAATTTCTTAGCGTGTACAGACCTCCTTACTGAGGTGTGTATTACAGTTTCCACTTTGGGGATGAAGAAGTTGGAGCTTGGAGACCTCAAGTAACTGTGGGCCCTGAGGGCTGAGGTTCTGCCCCTGGGCTCTGGGCAGCGGTCCACAGCGTTTACTGTGACGCACCACCAGCTTGCGTTCCTTTGCTATCGCTGCCTTTGGGGAGGGCGGCCACTGTTATTGCTAATTCCCCAGGCTCAACGCTAGCAGCAGCGAATCAACAGAACCTCAGAGAGTTCAAACATGCCGGGTAATCAGGTGCCTTCGCTCTTGCAGCCCCAGGAGGGTTATCTAGCCAGCTTCAGAAGTTCTGCCAGCCTGTTGCCTTGCCTAGAATTTCAGAGCAAGGAAAATCCAAAGGGAGGAAGCAGAGTCACCCCCAGCCCCTGCCACTCTCCTTCTCAAGGTGGGGTTCTCAGTTTTAGCCCCAGTGATGGCAGGACATGGCATGCATGTGTGTTAGCTGGTGTGGACTCTGGGAGTCATGTTTGGGTTGCCAGGCCAGCTGCTTTGCTTGGGCCCTCCCAGCCACAGGCTCATGGCTGGGACCTCACAACCACTGGTAGACACGACAGAGAAAAAGGAGGCATTGGGAGGAGGGATGAGGACCCAGGCTCCCTGGTTAGTACCTGCTCATTCTCCAGTTGAATATGGCCAGCAAATCCTGCACATGAACTCTAAGTCTCCAGGTCTAGGACACACTTGTGCAATGTCTGGGGGGTGGGGGGGGCGGTCTATGGCCTGCGGTCGGGGCAGCCTATGGGTATAAAGAGTAGGGAGGCCCCAGGGCTCCTGTGGCCGAAAGCAGAGGCTCATTCCTGGGAGAAGCCCACTGGTTCTTTGGGGGGCAGGTAGAATGTTCTGCGACACAGCCGGAGGTGCTCAGGCTGGGTAAGCTCCGGACAGGGCCCCCAAGGTGCTGGAGGGAGCTGGTATCATTGCCAGTGTGGAGTCTTACATCTGCTTGGCACTCAGGCCCTGTGTAAAGGTGCCTGGGGGAACTGCACTTAATGAGACCTCGCCAGTTGCTTTCACCAGGGCTAGAGTTCCACTGTGCGGAGACCCACCCATGTGTTTGTGAAGTCTAAAGGGCCCATGGGAGGAGGGAGGAGAAGTTAGGGACCCCAGGTGGGACAAGTCGTTCTCCATAAGGCAGCCCCCAGTGGTTTTCTTGACCAAGGAGGGGCAGAGTTACACCAAAGTCCGACACCCTGGGGAGTAGAGATGGAGGTGGGGGGAGGGAAAGGACCCCTCCTTGCAGGCCTGAGCCTCCCACCCTCACATCGTGGAAGGGAGGGGACATGTCTCATGGCCTTCCTTTGAGATGAGGCCACTGTCTGCGCACACATTTCTGTCATGGGGCCAGACATGTGGTAGGTGCTTTGTTGAGACTTGTTGATGAGTTGGGCTTCGCTCCTCTGTGCGGTACCTTTTACTGTGCCCTCCCGTATACCTAGCCGTGTGCTCAGGCGCCCTGCACTGCTCTGCAGTTGTCTCTGAGGAGCAGGTGGCACCATCGCATCAGAGAGGTGCCACGTCACAGCGTTGCACCCTGAGCCCTGGTGTCCCTGCTGCTGTGCCCTGGGCATGTCTTTGGGCCAGGAGGACTGGCACGGCCAGGCGAGGCTCAGGGAGGGTCTTCTTGAGCACCCC